TGTAATGACATATATATAAAATAATTATATAATAAAATAAATAATAAAATAATATTAATATATATAATTATTCATATATATTAATTAATGTTAAAATGAAATAAAAATTAAAGAATATACAAATTGAAGTTAAATATAAAAATAGTTTTATAAATTAATATATTGAAATTTTATTTCAACTTTATCAATTTATTTTGCTCTTTTTTCTTACAACATTTTTGATTAATAATAGACAGTGAAATTTATATACGTACATTTTTCATTAATAATATTTTATACATATCTTATTATCTTATATATTAATAAATGCTTAAATAATGAATATAATAACATGAAATTAATATAACAATTTATATAATTTTTATTATCTTTTTAGTCATAATTTCTTGTTTTACTTATTGTACAAATTATATATTTGTACTAGTCATTATAAAAATTTGTAATATTTACCATATATTTGTTTTTGTATATTTATATAATACAAGCTCCTAATAAACTCTTTATTAATGACATTTTTATGATAGTTTAATATTAATAAAAAAAAAAATTAAACTTTAAAATTCTTTAAACTATTTTTTTAAATTATTATAGTAATATTTTGATAAAAATAAAAAATCTATAATAAATACAATTAATACTCTGAATGCTATATCTTTTTTTTCATAAGACAATGATATTAAATTATTTCTTATTTATAAAAAAAAAAAAATTAAAACTATGGTCCAATAATAACATATAAAAAATTATTTAGATGATTGCAGAATACTTCTGACTATGAGTTTTGTACTAAAAATATTTATTTAGACAATGCATATAAATTAATGCACTGTCTCAAAATAGGGATTCACAGGCTACACAATACCTGATTGTGACCCATAAGGAGGTGGAGAGTCAAGTTCAGTCTCATCACCCCATTGTTGGGTAGTATGTCCCAACAAAGTATGTGTATCTTCATTGCACAGCCGTTCAGGAAAGTTTATCCCATCGCCAAAACTGTAACCCACACTCTACCTTCTACTTCATGTAATCCTATATTATTTTTAGAAGTAGCGTATCTATTAATTTTTGATAAATATAAAAATTATAAGGGGTATTGACTAATTATAAAATGAAATATTTTAAAATTTTATGTAAATTTTAATTTTCAATATATTTTTCATTCTTCTTTCTTTATATTTACTTTTAATTTATTATATGTTGTCTTTTTTATTATTTTATTAATATAAAAAAATATAAAATAAAAGTAATATGAAATATAGTTACACTACTTCTAATAATCAAATAAATATCAATCTGCAAGAACCAGATGCACAATATTTTTTATAATAATAAGAAAATTAAGTAACAATAATTTTTATTAACATACAATATAATGCATCTACAAATAATATGCATTCAAAATAAAAATAATACCTATTTTAAAGTCCATTTCAATTATCTTCAGATTAAATTCAAGATGCAAATTTGATCTCACTGTAGGCATATAAATATTATAAATTTTAATACAATTGTTATCATTTTATTATAAAAAAATAAAACGATATTCATAAATATAATGATAAAAATTATATTTTTTGATGTATCATAAAAAGTTAATATTGTATTAATTAGAATTCATAATTTTTGCAAAACACGTTTCAACAAATCACAAAACACACATCTCATAAATTAACAGTTAATAAAAAGTATTAAAAACATATAGCTATAATATTAAAATTGTAATTTCATTAATATTATATTATTTTTAATGTTAATAATTCAATCACATTTGTAAATATAACACTGGTTTTTATAATAGAATAAAAGCACAAATAAAATAAATAGTTGCATGCATTCATAAAGCAAATATATATGTATATATACACATACACACACGCACGCGTGTGTATATGTATGTACTTTGTTACTCTGGAACTCTATATCAAATAAATAATAAATGAAAGAAAATGGTTTTCTAAAAAAAAAAATAAATGCATGAATCTATTAAAAGATATGAAGAAAATGTTTTAATTTCTTTGTTTTAAAAAATATTTAGACATCTTTTAAATGTAACAATATGTTATTTATTTTAATATCAACTGCCTTTTAATCAACATTAAGGAGTTCCATAGTAAAATTTATATATAACTATTACATTGGCACTATAAATTTCTATAATGCTGACCTGTTTCGGGTACTTCCCATGGAGTCATAAGTATTCGATGTGCCTTGATGTTGCGCACGTACTGGATAGGTGACACCATTTCCAAGAC